TAATTTGGATGGGAATAACCTTAACAGTGTTTTGTAAGAAAGGGATCTTGGGGTAATAGTTGATCAGTCTCTAAAGCCATCCAAGCAGTGTGCTGTTGCTAGTGGTAGGGCAAATAGAATTTGAGGTTGTATCTACAGAAATATTGAATACAAATCTGAAGAGGTTATAATTTCATTGTATAGGTCACTGGTTAGGCCACATTTGGTATATTGTGTTCAGTCTTGACCTCCTTACCTTAGGAAAGACATTGAATTGTTGGAAAGGGTTCAGAGAAGGTTTACTAGGATGGAGGGTTTTCATACAAGGAGAGGTTAAGGTCTATGAAATTGTTTTCTCTTGAAAAAGAAAAGTTTGGGAGATCTGACTGAGATGTTTAAGATTGTAAAAGGGAATTGATAGTGTTCATGCATCATCTCTTTTCATATTTAACTAGGAGACACAAATATAAATTTTGGCAGTGTGGGAGTCATCTTCAGCTAAGATGGTGTTATATTTCTAACAAAGTAGTTGGCCTTTGGATGTTGTAGAGGCAGTAAATTTAAGTGAGTTTAAAAGGAAGCTTGACAAGTATATGAATGATAAAGGCTGACTTTAAGATTTTTTTTATATTTATTTATTAATAATTTAAGTTTAGTTTAGAAGACAGAACAGCCGAGTGGGACCAATAGGTTCCATGTTGTCCCACAACGTTATGTTAACAAAATATAGTAACTGAATTAATGGGAAGATTATAATTAAAAAAGGATTATAATATAATGAAAAAATGTGTATATTTTCTTAGTTTTATTAAATTAATTTTGTTTTTTAAAGCATAACTCAGATTTTGGATAGGTATATACGAAGTGCTACAGTACCTTATTAAATTATCATATGTTGTAACCGAACCAGTAGCGTCATCAGTCAGTGATTGTTATGATTAATTTATGTGAAACTTTTTTAACGGTAATTGAAAACGTGTTGTCCAAAAAAGTATGCACCAGAGAGTCAAACGAGTTAGCCATTTTAATAGTGTTAATGACTCGTATAAATATGTATTTTTTTATATTTTTTCTTATTGTAATATAATACATTGAATATTTTAACCATTATATACTCTTGGGCATTAAATAATATCTTTAATTCTTATACACTCTACTTTTTAAAATGTTTACGGAAATGTATACGTAATTATTTATCCCTTCCCTCTTTTTCTATGAAGGGTCGCTAGCAATGTTTCTTTGTCGAGCTCCCTGCCATGTTAGTTCACATCACGCTGGTTCTTCCAGTGGTCTCTCTCACATTCACCGAATATTTTCACATACTTTTAAGCCGAACAGATTAGTAAAGGTACCAGTTTGTTTCTATGGCAACCATGAAGGTGGTAGTGATCTTTGGAATCATGCTGTTCCTCAACAGACGCAAGTTTTGATTTGTGGAGCCGGAACAGTGGGTAACTCAGTAGCTTATCACCTCGTGAAAAATGGCTGGACTGATGTTGTTGTTCTCGAACAAGGAAGGTATGATCGTGGAAGTCGTCATACAAAGCGTATTAGAATACAACCATTTAGACATAAATCTCGAAAGAAGAAAAAAAAAAGATTGGAATTTGTTTGTATAATCTAGTCAAGCGGGCAGTATATACTTGTAGGTCACAACCAAATTATCTACTTAACAATGCTTGGTTAAGGTAAAATGGAATCAGTTTTATTAATTACATGGCAGTAAAGTAGATTGAATTCTTTGATAGTACGTAAAATACTTATATCTCCACAGTGTATCGCTATGAGTATCCACATGTAATTATTCTGCTCTTCTATTGTTAAACTATTATTGTATCCTATGCAGCCTGTAGTTTACTTTTTCCAAAATTTCTTATTTACTTTTATGTCCTATAACATTGAATGTGCTGGGCCTGGCATGGCCTAATGTGACAGTCAATCCCACTGATCATTAGTAGACAAATAGTCCAAGAGTTGAGAGTGAGTGGTGTTGACAAGCAGCATTCCCTCTAGTGTATCACTCTAAATTAGGGACTCTAGTGTATCACTTTAAATTAGGGACTCTAGTGTATCACTTTAAATTAGGGACTCTAGTGTATCACTTTTAAATTAGGGACTCTAGTGTATCACTTTTAAATTAGGGACTCTAGTGTATCACTTTAAATTAGGGACTCTAGTGTATCACTCTAAATTAGGGACTCCAGTGTATCACTCTAAATTAGAAACTCGAGTGTATCACTCTAAATTAGAAACTCGAGTGTATCACTCTAAATTAGAAACTTGAGTGTATCACTCTAAATTAGGGACTCTAGTGTATCACTTGAAATTAGAAACTTGAGTGTATCACTCTAAATTAGGGACTAGTGTATCACTTTAAATTAGGGACTCTAGTGTATCACTCTAAATTAGGGACTCTAGTGTATCACTCTAAATTAGGGACTCTAGTGTATCACTCTAAATTAGGGACTCTAGTGTATCACTTTAAATTAGAAACTTGAGTGTATCACTCTAAATTAGGGACTCTAGTGTATCACTTTAAATTAGGGACTCTAGTGTATCACTCTAAATTAGGGACAGCTGAGACAGATAGCTCTCGTGTAGTTTTGTGCAAAATTTAAAACAAACCAAGCTAATGAAATTGTTTAAATAAATAAATCAACTATTGTATCTGATTGGTTTCACTAAAGGACCTGATATCTGTTCAGTATCCAGATGCAACAATCTGCTTTACATACCTGTCTATAAGAATAGAGAAAGATGTGTTAGTGTCTTCATATAAGAATATAAATGTGCAGATTATTATTACATAACCACAACAAGTTACATCTTTTATTTAGATTCATTTTCAAGTTATATTTCAACTTTTGTTTTTTAACTTTATTACAATTACTTTTTCGACAGCTATGAATTATTAAGAAGAAGATGATATATACAGGGCTTACAGTAGTTCTGATTGCAACAATAATAGTACCATTAAGAAGATGATATATACGGGGCTTACAGTAGTTCTGATTGCAACAATAATAGTACTATTAAGAAGATGATATATATACAGGGCTTACAGTAGTTCTGATTGCAACAATAATAGTACCATTAAGAAGATGATATATACGGGGCTTACAGTACTTCTGATTGCAACAATAATAGTACCATTAAGAAGATGATATATACGGGGCTTACAGTACTTCTGATTGCAACAATAATAGTACTATTAAGAAGATGATATATATACAGGGCTTACAGTAGTTCTGATTGCAACAGTAATATTACAGTGTTCTTTTTTTTTTTTCTTCTTGCTAAATGCAATAGAATTGGTTGTGGGGTGTCTTGGCGGGCCTGTGGAATTGTGGGCCATTTTCATTCTTCAGCTGTTGGAGCTCTTACCCAGTATAGTGCCAAGTTGTATAAAGAAATCCAGAATCAAGGTTATGATATTGGTAAGTCTTTTTACCTAGCAGTGATTGTCAAACTTAAAAATACAGTTTTTATTTCTATTTATGTTAAAACTGAGTGTTTTGTTGGTAAATAGAAAGATTGATAAAACTGAGTGTTTTTGTTGGTAAATAGAAAGACTGGTAAA